GACTTTGAAGTGTTCCACTTTTGATGAAAATACAACAACTCTATGGCATTGGTCTTTCATCGCTTTTGTGGCCTTTGGCAACCCTTTTCCCTTTGCAATACAAGCATACCTTTGGGTGATGCATGGCGCAGCTTTTGCGCTGGCCTTCTTCTTTGGTGCAGGGCTGTTCGTTCGTTTAGGATCCTTTGTGGGTGCAGCTGCATTTTCATGTTTATAAAAACATTTGTCACCATGACGACATTTGCCCTGTTGGAAGTACGTGCAAGGGATCTTAGCCATCTCTTCCTTTGATTTTCTTGATGGGGAAGCACTTCTACCACTGCCTTTGCCCTTACCCTTCTTTTTCGGGGTTCCAGATCTTGAGGTATCCTTGGCATGTTTTAGGGACAGTCCTTTCCTTTCTCACATTTACCATCCCGAAACTTGTAACATATCTTGTCCCCCTTTGCACTCTGGCTTCGACCGCGGGATCGTCCTCGATCTCCTTTTCCTTTTCCACGATCTTTTCCGCCCTGAGCGGGTGCAGCGGGCTGAGGCTTTTCAGTCTGCTTGTTCTTTTCAACAATCCGGCTCCTATTTGATCGGAGTCTTTCTCTGTCTAGAAAAACTCGGATGTTTCTGATTAGCATAGGACTTCTGCTCTGACTTTTCGGGAGCTCTGTCAAATGCTTCAATGTCATACTTCATCAACTGACATTTTCGGATTTGTCGAAGAAAGATGCCTCTAAGAACCAAGTCATCTGGTGGGGTTTCCATACCGGCAATTGTGGCATCCCATCGGTTCAAAAACCTTCTAAGGTCCTCCACAGACTCCCCGGTGCGAACGACTCCTAACAAGTCCTCGATACGATAGAGGCTACCGGCTTCGTCAGACGTCCTGAAATAGTCTTCAAACATCAAAAGGACTCTCCTACCTCTGACCTGGATCCCGTTCTTCGACTTCTCATCTTTGAAGTTGTGGAATCTTTGTTGCTAAATCACCCTTGGCAGAGCGAGTTAACGCTGCCGACAATTTGGTATCAAGTGTGATGAACTTGCCTGGGTCTTGTAGCTTTTCTTCCAATTGGTCCCTTGGGGTCTTGTTGTCAAAGACTTCATTGAGCCAAATCCAAGCCTCATCGGGCTCGTCAGAGCATGACTTGACCTCGTCCCTAACATGATTACGCCAGTGACGATAGGCTTCTGGGGCAGGCATGTCGTTCAGCTTGATAGTCTCTGCCTCTTTTGTGCGGGGCTTTTCGCCATCTGAATCCTTTGAAGTCAGTCTAGTGATGAGATCTAAAAGTTGCTGACCTGAAAGACCTAAGCCTGCCTCAAAACCCTTCTTGTCGGGCTCACTTGCTACGACCGTAGGGCTATGCACACTTGTTTCATGATTTGCTTCTTCATGTTGTGGCCTTTGCACGGGTAATGGTGGTAATCTCGGAGGTGCTGCTGATCCTGCGGGGGTAGTGGCAAACAGATTACCCAACTTTTCCTTTGCGTCTGCGGCTAAGCCGTCCATACCTGAGCTAGGCTTGGGTTCTGCTCCAGCCTTCGTACCAACCGACTTTGGGGGTCATGTACAAGTCCAGATTTATCCCGCCTAGTCTGTCGTCATCATTGCCGACTTCATCAATCTTGATCTCAGGGGCGCTGTACTTGTTGAGTCTCTCCATCAGTTCCTCTACTTGCTCTTGAAGTTGAAAGTTGAGTTCAGTGGACTGGGATTCCTGTCTACTGCACTCCTCCCTCATCTCCTGGATTACAGCTTGTTCCTCTTTCTTGGATCCTTCCATACCTTTTCTTGCATATTCCACCGTGTCATCCACGATTCGTTTACAGTCTGCCTCGAGGCTCCCTCTGAGTTCGGAATACCTTTGTTCATACTGGGTTGCTATGTGGGCTACCTTTTGGTTTGCTCTTTGCTCAGCTTCCAGTGCAACTGCATTTGCAGCGTTCTTTAGCTTTGCGTTTGCATCGCTAAGTTCCTTCCTCAGTTTTGTGACCTCATGCTCAGCTGCCGTTTGGAACACTGCATATTCTGCTGTCATCTGCTCATGTTTACGCTCAGCTTCTGCACGCTGTTGGGCAATCTCACTAAGACAAACTTGCTCAAACTCTTGGTACAGTTGCTGAGCCTTTTGTTCCATGATCTGTGTGTGCCTTTCCTCAGCTTCACGTCTGAATGCGTCAATGTTATCTTCATTTATGCAGGTAGAAACCTTCATCTACAGTCATGGGCGTGGGATTTGCCCCAGCCGAAACATCCGACGGGGCTCCAGTGTGTGCGGGCGTCATCGAACTTGTTGCTGGGACAATAGCACCACCTTGTCCAGATATGTCACCAGGTGTCCTTTCCATGGCTTTAGAGACTACGGCTGATAACCTGTATTTTCAGGTTTCAGCTGGGGTTATGCCTATAACACCCAAGTAGACTAATAAACCTAAATCCGTTAAGCACTGCGGCAAAAGCACTTTTTACTCGAGCCGCAACAGCTAATGTCAGCATGCTATATTACAGTGTGTTTTATATTGGGTGCAATTACAGAAACATGTCAAGGTGTGCTTCTCAATGTTTCCAGGAAAGTTGGGTAGCAATGTTGCAGCAGGTCTAAAATAGAAACAGCTGCTACCATGGTTTCACGTTCCAGGCAGGGGCACGGATTCTCCCCCGATCCCATGTATGTATGGATTTAAATCACGTATATCATGTATATCATGTATGATATTATACATATATATATAATTTAATATAAGATGATATAATATAATGTAGTATAATTTAATATGATATAATCTAATATAATATAATACAATACAATAACATAGTTTTTAACATAATGTAATATAATAAAATATGATACAATACAATACCAATACCAATACCAATACCAATGCCAGTACCAATACCAATACCAATACCAATGCCAGTACCAATACCAATACCAATACCAATGCCAGTACCAATACCAATACCAATGCCAGTACCAATACCAATACCAATACCAATACCACTACCAATACCAATACCAATACCAATACCAATGCCAGTACCAATACCAATACCAATACCAATACCAATGCCAGTACCAATACCAATACCAATACCAATACCAATGCCAGTACCAATACCAATACCAATGCCAGTACCAATACCAATACCAATACCAATGCCAGTACCAATACCAATACCAATACCAATACCAATGCCAGTACCAATACCAATACCAATACCAATGCCAGTACCAATACCAATACCAATGCCAGTACCAATACCAATACCAATGCCAGTACCAATACCAATACCAATACCAATACCAATACCAATGCCAATACCAATACCAATACCAATACCAATACCAATGCCAGTACCAATACCAATACCAATACCAATGCCAGTACCAATACCAATACCAATACCAATACCAATACCAGTACCAATACCAATACCAATACCAATACCAATACCAATACCAATACCAATACCAATACCAATACCAATACCAATACCAATACCAATGCCAGTTACCAATACCAATGCCAGTACCAATACCAAATACCAATACCATGCCAGTACCAATACCACCAATACAAATGCCAGTACCCAATTACCAATACCAATAATACCAATACCAATGCCAGTACCAATACCAATCCAATCCAATACCAATGCCAGTACCACTACCAATACCAATACCAATGCCACCAATGTACCAATACCAATACCAATACCCAGTACCAATACCAATACCAATACCAATACCAATGCCAGTACCAATACCAATACCAATGCCAATACCAATACCAATACCAATGCCAGTACCAATACCAATACCAATACCAGCCAGTACCAATACCAATACCAATACCAATGCCAGTACCAATACCAATACCAATGCCAAATACCAATACCAATACCAATGCCAATACCAATACCAATGCCACCAATGCCAAGCCAGTACCAATACCAATACCAATACCAATGCCAGTACCAATACCAATGCCACCAATACCAATCCCAATACCAATACCAATACCAATGCCAGTACCAATACCAATACCAATACCAATACCAATGCCAGTACCAATACCAATACCAATACCAATGCCAATACCAATACCAATGCCAATACCAATACCAATACCAATGCCAGTACCAATACCAATACCAATACCAATGCCAGTACCAATGCCAATACCAATACCAATGCCAATACCAATACCAATGCCAGTACCAATACCAATACCAATACCAATGCCAGTACCAATGCCAGTACCAATACCAATACCAATACCAATACCAATGCCAGTGCCAGTACCAATACCAATACCAATACCAATACCAATACCAATGCCAGTACCAATACCAATACCAATACATATATATATATATATCATCATCTTGTAGAGTTTTCAGACTTGTACCTCGGGAGGAACTCAAGGGACTTCCGCTTGGAACACCCTAAAAAAAAACGAACTTTCCTGCTGGGAACGGTGAGGAAATCCACGGCGATGATACTCCCCAAAGTATCAGATACAATAGATATACCATATAGATATATTGTATCATCATAGATATACCATATAGATATACCACATATATATATAATTATATATAGATGTACCGATGTACCATAGATATACCATCTGTTTATGACTAAGAATTCGCCATGGAAAATCACCATGCTATTAATAGGTAAACCCAGGTAAACCATCTATTTCTATGGGCAATTTCCCATGGCTATGTTAAATAACCAGAGGGCATATGATGATTTATATTATCACACCACTTACCAAGATGGCTTTTGAACACTGCTCATATGCGACTGCACAATGAGAATTACTCAGTGCTTTCAAGATCTTTCAAGGATCAAAAATTGAAACACGCGGGGTTAACTTAAACCGTGTCAACAAAAATTAAATTGACATCGGCTGTGTTTTGTGATTTTACGCACCAAGTGGATCCAATTAGTATGCAATGACAAGGTATGCAGCAAGTTGAAGTAAAGGCAAGGCGCTATCCTTTTGAGATTCCTCAACTCTGCTTTCATGTCTTTGATCTTCTCTTCCTGTCCGGTTGAACCGTTGAACCCCAGACGACCTGCAAGCCTCAATGGTTCCATGGTTCCCATGACGTTGGTCCCCCTGTCCCCCCTTGTGGCGCCTCCTCTTTCATTCTGGCACGTAGCTCGTTGAGTCGCGCCTGCGTTGAAGTTGACTTCGATCCCAAGAGGTCGAGATCGGTCCCCGGACGTGACCGGATGGCACTGTCCTGACCGGTTCCTGTCGGCCGACTTTGCAACCAGCAGCTCGGATCTGATTCGCCCAGGACATGGCCTAAACATGCGAAGATCACCAAAGAACGAAACATGGCACTGCGAGGCATTATGGATGTGGACGCGGTTCATAGAATCTTTCAGTCGTCCTTGAGCCACAAAGCAACGCCATGCCCGGGACCTTTGTTTGATGTGTTCTCAAGGTGGCCTAGAATCTGGAAATGTAGCGAAAAGACCAGGATCGTCAAAGTGGAGCAATGTCTGCCGGCGAAAGGCTCACAATCGTGGTTTTGCAATCTGCTGGGAGTGGTTGTTTCCTGGCGCCTTTTTTTTTCTCACTTCATCTCCGCAGCATGTTTTCATCCTGGTGAGGGAATGATTCTACCAGGAAACTTCGTCAACTGACCGATTTGTAGCAGTTTTGTAGCTGGGTTTTCTATCCGCAATTGCATATGGTGCTTATTGCTTGCAACTTGCCGTTACAAGATACTGGGTGTTGTTTTTGTTTTCTCAATCCAAGCTTGGGGGTCCCTCTCGAGACTGGCGTCACATGCGACGTCGGGTAAAAAAGTGAGGTTCTGGCAATTCGTATAACAGCTTGGAAAAAAGAAAGGAAAACTCATCATCACTGGTCACTGGTCTTTTGAAGAGTCTCAGAAACGTTTCTCTCACGTACGACTCATGTGTAAATCTGAGATGCTTCAGTGGCAGCCAGCCTGAATATCACTTCTTTACAGCTCTTCCACCCGATGTCCGAAAGATGGAACCCTGCCGATTGCGACCCTTGTGAGAGATGGTTCAACGAAGACCTGGCCCGGCTGGCCAACTCAAAGTCCCTTCAGTTCCTCCCCCCTTCCAATCCATGTTTTTTCAACGGGCAGTGCGTCACGGAGATGAAAAGCGGCACTTGTCGACATTCAGCAACCGTGGGTCATAGCGGACCAAGGGTTTCCAAATGTTCAGAACACGCATCTCTTCCACCGTGCAGAAATGCTCTCTGCTGGGCATGTGGGTCTATTGTAGCATCATGGAAGTATGTTGGAACTCAAATTGAATGTCTAAGGAATGATCGGGCCAGGTATCGGCAACATTCGACTACAAAATGCGGGGACAGGTTGGAAGGATCTAAGCTCAACCGGACCTCACCAGTTCTGTCCAGATGGACTCACGTGACCGGGCCAGAGATCTGTGGTCGCTAACATGGCCTGTAGAACGGGAACAGCATTGCCATCTGAACATGCGTAACCCCGGAAAAAGAAGAAAAGGTCGCAATATATGACATTATATGACATCTTTATTCCAGTGCTTCATTCTTATTCATTCTTATTCCACATATTGCCACGGTATTCCATTGCCACATAAGGCCTCTGGGATTTGATTCTGCAATCGTCAAACATGGCGCTGGTGTTGGTGGGGTTTTCAGGTGTGCTGGCCCAAAAATAATCATCCAACATTGAACGGATGATTTTGAAAGATCAACATGATAAAGAAATGTCTATGTCTATATGCCAATGGAAATGTCCACTAATATATATATATATATATTAATATATTAATATATATATATTATCTATATATATATATATTATCTATATATATATATCTATTTATTTAATGGGATATCCAATGCTATAGATTGTTGTTTCACCATCCAATGGCTGCACAACTGCCATCCCCCAAAAGATGTGGAGAAACGTGGGGACGTCCTGTCGATTGGTTGGTTAGCGGCAGTTGGGTGATGGTACTGTGCTGCATCAAATTACAGCGGCTTCCAAAATGCAACAGCCATGGTTCGCAAATTGCCATAGCTACTGAAATACCCAGAATGCCACATCCCTTTTGTAGGGTCCAAGAACATCCCAACAAAGTGTGCGAATGTGTCAGCACGGGCCGTAATTCTTGAACCATCAATGGATTGCGATAACGTTTTTGACATATAGCCCCCCAAAAACCATCCAACAAAAGGGCTTTCAAACCATCAACAAATGTTACAAGAGTCGATAATCATCGAGGCATGTTTCGAAGTTGATGTGGCAGCAAGCTCAGAAGCATGGCATTGGGAATCCCAAAAGAATCTTCTGAAGAGATCTTCACATGGTTTGCTGTTTTAACCCAATCTTAACATATATGAACATGCTCCGGGAACATCTTCAAAGACTTTGTCTGCTTCGCTTGTCCATCGATGGCCCCACCATTCCATCGATGAGGGCCCTGCATAACCAGTAAAATCACTCTCTTGCAACAATTCTCCGACGTTTCACATTGACTGCAGTCTGTTGGCAGGGTCGCCCAAAGTAGCGGCTCCCGGTTCCTTCGCTCATCCATTTTTCCTGGCGCAGATAGTCGGCACGGAGCGCAGGAATCAGATGTCTGACCATTGATGCCCTGAACGGGACCAGTGGCGATGCCCCAACATTCAGAAAAAAAACATATGGACCCTTAGCAGCTTAGCATTGCATAATATTGCAACATGGAGATGGATGGAAATGGATGAAAATGGATGGAGATGGCATTGCGATGCATTTCGGATAAGAATTCATGTTTTTTTTGGAAGCCACTACAAGGTGCTGTGACCATCTCCAGCAGTGCTGCACTCCTTGGAACCCTGCCCAAAGGACAAGGATTAAAACAAATTAAAACCGGGGTTTCCCTGCTGTTCACATCAAAAATAACATAAAATGTCTGAAAAGTAATTGGTCGTTGTCGATATTCATCTCCCGATTCATGGCAGAAAAAAACATGCAATACAGGATGGGGCCCCCCAGTTATAAGTTGGTTTATAACCCCATGTAAATATAGCTATTTGCGTATCATACACTCACAACATTGTTATTATAGTTATTTGCACCAACTTAGCTAACGAACTGGTAATAGTAACTATAGGGCCCCATCCTGTATACATATACAATATAATATATACATACATTATACAATATTATACAATATTATACAATATTATACAATATTTTACAATATTATACAATATTAAACAATATTATACAGTTATACAATATTATACATTGGAAAACCGTAGGGTCTTCACCCATGTTCGAAAAATACGGAAACCTCGCCTCCTCCGTAAACCGGGATTTCGTCCAGCGCGGTCTTACCGACCACGGGTTCACCTGTGGTCAGGCGATGGGTGCCAATAGGATCCAATAGGACCTAAATATACCACAAAAATACATGGAACTTCTATGATAATCTAGGGTTAATGGACAACATATGGATATATAATATATATATATAGGCTGTGGAGAATAATTTCAATTAACCTCGAAAATCCAAACGAAATCTTTGATCCAGGTGTGAGTGGTCAATCTGAAAGGCTACGACGCTACCTTTCTTGCAGATGTGGGAAATGATGTTGCACCATGTTGCACCAGGGATGACAGCTGTGCTTCTGTGCTCCCAGGCAGCTGAAACTGCGATGTCAATGACCTACCCAGCGGTCGCCATCCATGTCGCCATCGCCATCCCATCCATCCGATCCAAGATCTGCAAGATGGAATGGATCATCTGATGCCTGGTGAAAGCATTCAACACCGAAGCACAGGTGGCCACATTGGGTCGCAGGCCATTCATTTCCATCTCCATCAGCAGAAGTAGCTGCTGCTGCCAGCAGCTACAGGCAGTACCACCCTCAGCCGACTTGATGGCAGCGTTGTACGTGACGACGCTCGGCTGAAGTCTCTGAAGCTTCGTTGCATGGAGGAGGAATAAGGCCTGCTGCCATGCACTCGCTTTCTCGCAGGCGCTGATGACAGCATTGCATGAGATGATGTTGCACTTCACCTGCTTGTTGGCAAATACATCCAGCAACATCAAGGACTGCTGCCACCTGCCTGCATCTTCACAGGCACTTACGACCGCATTGCAAGTGATCACATCAACCTCCAGGCTCCTGGAAACTGCCCAGCCCAACCAGGCCAGAGTCTGCTGCCAAACGTTGGCATTTGCACAAGCACTGAGCATGGCATTGCAGCTTACAACATTCGGCTCAAGCTGACCGGGCTGACCCATCATCATCTCCAACAAACAGCTGGCAGCCTGCCATTCGGAAGCATCACCACAGGCAGAGATCGCAGAATTACAACTGATCACGTTGGCCAAACATCTCTCCTCTTCCATCTTGTGCAACAAAAAAATTGCCAGTTGCCAAACTGAAGCCTTCTGGCAGCTGCTGATGGTGGCATTGAAGCTGATGCTGCTGACTCGCCCCAGTTTTCGGGTCTCTTCCAGTAGAGCCAATGCTTCAGACCACCTGCCAGCCGCTTCACAGGCCCCGATGGCCGCGTTGCAAATGATGCCATTGCGCTCTTCCAGGCGGCCCTGCAACAGCAGCGCCAGCCGCCATCTCCGCATCGAGACTGAGGTTTGTGGGTGGCCTAGGCTGGACAGAACCGCGGTGTGAGTGATGTCGGTAGCTTCCAAGTGGTTGGAACCTATGAAGGTCAAGGTCTCTAGCACCTTTCGCCATCTCCCGGCTTTTCCCAAGCCACTGCTCAAGGCATTGTAGCTGATAATCCCCCCCACAATTCGGGCAGTTTTTAGGGACCTCAGAGTCTTTAGGGCCGTTGGCCATTCCTCAGCGCCCAGGGAGCTCAGTAACAAGTTGTGGCTCACCGTGTCTGGCAGCACCTGCAAAGCCCTGGCCCGGCTCAGCAGAGCCACTGCCTGCTGCCATGACCGACAGGCCGAGATAGCGCTGTTGAGGAGAGATCTGTCCAAGTTGGCCTCACAGGGGGGTTATAACTTGGGCCCCAAAACAACTGGAGGGGGCAACCCTGCAAGAAACCGGCATTCAATGGACTTGTGGTATCTTTTTGTAGCTTTATATGTTTGGCCAGCTCAATCGTTCACCGTGTTGAAAGCCTGCCTCATGATACAACTCCAAAGCCGCCTGCCATGCAGCTGCTGCCCCACAACCGCTGATGCCCAACTTGTACAGGACAGCATCCGTGGTACCGAGCCCCCCAGCCAGCTGCAGCAACTCCAGGACCTGCTGCCATTCCGAGAATTTCTCACAGCTGCTCATGGCGGCTCCAAAGGAAATCGCATCAGGGCTGAGATGTCCATGTTCGATCAACTCAATGAGGATCTTCAAAGACTGTTGCCATTCACCAGCTTTACCACAAGCTGAGATAGCTTCATTGCAAGTCATCAAGTTTCTTTGTTTCAACTCTTTTGCCTGGCTCAGCAGTTTGAGCGCATGCTGCCACTGGGCGCCACAGGCTCCAATGGCAGCACGAAAAATCAAGGCATTTGGGCTTAGGGCCGCATCTTCCAGGGCTTTTAGGAGCAGAACTGCTTCCTGCCACTTTCCGGCAGCTTCGCAAATGCACATCAAGCTGCCATATGAGATGACGTTTTTCCGCAGTCTTGACATCGACATCTCAGAAAACATCTCCAGAGCCTGCTGCCAGTTCTCACCGAGTGCAGTTCCATAGTTGATCTCATTTGGTTTCATCCCTGAGGTTCTCATCATCTCAAGCCCCAACACAGCCCAGGTCCACTCGGTAGCCTTTTGAGATGCACTCGTGGTGGTACTGAAACTGATGACATCGGCTTCCAAATCCTTCATCTGAACCTCCTTGAGCAAATGAATGGCTCGATTCCACTGGCCGATGGCGCTGATGGTTGAGTTGTAGCTAATGACATTGGCTTCCAAGTCGTTTCTTTGCACCTTCCGCAGTAGCATAATGGCCCTCTGCCACTGCTCTCCTTTACACTTGGAGCACTTGGAGATCTCTTTGTTGTAGTGGATCAAGGTCGGTCTTGGCGCCTCAGGAACTTTGACTGCCATCTTCAAATATCCTGAGCCTGGATGCCACGGAAGAGATTCAGGGCGTCTTCACCGTTGTGCTTTTCTTAGGACTCAAAGGGACCAACAAAAATCTCAATGCTGTGTCAATTCTGGCATTTGGATCCAGATATATCAACATCTATCAAGATTCATCTCAGCACTCAACGCAAATGACGCAAAGTGTATCTCTTTTCGCAGCACTTCAAATGGATGTCAACCCAGTCCCCAACCCTTCCGTTCTTCGAAGGGACTCAAGGACGTGGATCCGCCTGGATCAAGAGATATGGGCCATATGGGCATGGATCAAAATTGGGTACTCCAGTCATTGGATTCCAATTGGATGGTCAATACTAGAGACTAAGCCATCTGTGGTACAGGTCTTAAAAGTTTGACCCATAGCCAGGTCTTGGCATCATATGGCTATGTCCAAGTCATGTTGCAATACCCCAAATGGCTGGTGAATCTTCTTGTCCCAGTCAGAACAGGCCACTGTCCCCACTAGCCTCCTGGCTCTCGCTGGCACTGGACCTGCTACCTGAATAGATCAAATAGAAGGTTGGTTGGTTCAAGCGTTCAAGGGTCAAACCGGGGTTTATCATCATAGCATATCATAGCCATTGGTCCGAACAAGTATGAACTCACCGGGAAAATGTCCAGCCGTCCAGCCCAACAAATGGGATAACCGGATAGCCCAATCACTGAGCCAAGGAGCGTCTTTTCTGGATCTGTGTGACCTGCCAAGGGGCAGCTACTGCACCTGCACTTTTTGAAAGGCTCTGAGTCATTCTAACATTCTATTTTAACATAGCGAACTGGAAAATCACCATTTTTAGTGGGAAAACTCACTTTTCTATGGCCATTTTCAATAGCTATTTTGACATCACCAGAGGGTAATGAATAGTCCATTGATGGTCCATGAATAGTCCATTAACATCACGGATCAACCCCGTGTTGCAGGGTCCAAATCCGTCCAGGTCTTGAGATGTCCAAAAGCTTTACCATCTGGTTATGACCAACATAGCCATAGAAAATCACCATGTTTAATAGGTAAACCAGCTATTTCTATAGGCCATCTATACCATGGCTATGTCAAATAACCATTGATGGTGGAATCTCCAGCCATGTTTGACTCCCAGGAGTGGGGGCAAAGATTGCGGCAGAAAAACTTGGCGGGACCTGGTCAAGAATCACCGATAGGACCTATGGGTACCCCCAAATCATCAATTGTCATAGGATTTCCACCAAAAACACCATCCATTTTGGGATACCCCCCTTAGGAAACCTCCGCTTGATAGATTTCCGTCCGAAAAACTTCCGCGTTCATCGGTGCGTTCAAGCTCTTAAGTGCCGGACTTTGGGAGTCAAAGGCTCGTTTTGTTTCCCACACAAGATACCCCCTGGTTAAACATATTTAGCTATTGAAAATGATCAATGAACCATTTATAGATGATTCAAAAATGATGATTTGCCTAAATTTGCCTATGAAAAAATGGATGGTTTTCTGTAGCAATGAGTCATTACCGGGAAACCGGTCCTGGGGAAATTTGAAACCGGAAACGCCCGAAACCCCCCATATTTCATGGGAAAAAACCCATGCTTTCCGGTGTAGATTTTACCTTAAAATCAATCCAGTGAGAAATGATGTCAAGAATCTCAAGTCAGCTGCAACGCCTCGTCATGTTGTCGCAGATCATTTTTTTCTCCACCTGTGGATCTGCCTTCAACATCGCATAAAACCTGGGAAACATCAACAGAGAAGATGGGATGCGGCAGCAAGTTCAGCTAGTTCTGACATTGTTGAAAAACAGCTGAGAAGAAGGCTCTCAATAGTCCATCACACCTCAAGTCCATTCAAGTCCCCGATTTTTGGGTGTGTCTGAAAATGATACCCCCAGTTGTGGCAGTGATGTATCTAATTATATTTCCATTATATCTCCATTATATCAAATTATATCTCCATTATATTCCATAAAATCACTGCTAAATCACATAAAATAGAAAAATATCCCCATTATGTTTCCATTATATCCCATTATATTCCATATGTTTATATCTCCATTCAAATCCTATGAATGCATAGAAAACCCAAGCGGTTCACTGCTGTCGCTAAACCATCTGACCCAGCCATGGGATCTCGCGCTCCCACCATCACTGGTGTCGACCTCTGAGAAGATACATCTGTTCTAAATTCCCAAACCATCAACCGGAGTGGCTACATCTTATAAATATTATGTATAGATCCCATTAATATTAGATGGTTTGGGAATTTAATTCTGGTTACATCTCATTTAATTATGTATAGATCCCATTAAATCCCCATGAAACGTATTATGGTTAGTGAAAAAAAACCGTTCCTGGTCAAATTCCCATTTTTTTTTGTTGCTGAAATCGGTGAAAATTCCCCATGTGGAGGTTTCCTAAGTCATGGGTTTTACCCCCAGTTCTCATCCATTTTATTTTCGGAGTTTCCATATAAACCATCCAGCTATTGGGGTACCCCCATTTATGGTTCCCCCATTTATGTTTGTTGGTTTATAAACCCCATGAATACTAATTCGTTCTCTAGTTCGATATATCTACCATAAATCATAGTTAATTCAGCCAGTTATACGTCAACTGAACGCTATCGAACGGGGGGGCCATCCCATATACATTCCATATAAATCCCATATAGATCCCATATAAATCCCATATAAATCCATATAAATCCCATATAAATCCCATATAAATCCCATATAAATCCCATATAAATCCATATAAATCCCATATAAATCCCATATAAATCCATATAAATCCCATATAAATCAAATTAAAATATATAAATCCATATAATCATATATAATCCATATAGATTTCCATTAAATCACCATAGTTAATTTATGGATCCCCCCATCTTTCGTCGGTCAGACACGCCACCTCTTCGAAGATGCGCGGCATCTCCAGGAACTGCTGTGGGCCCTCCATATCGATGGTCTCGGCCACACCTGGATGCAGAGAAAACGTGTATGGCATTCATGTCAATTTCCCTAGACATTTATTGAGATATTCATATGTTAGATTCATGTATGTATACATATGTATATATATACTTATATATATATACCCTCTGGTTATTTAACATGGCCATGGAAAATGGCCCATTTATAGATGGTTTACCTATTAAAAATGCTGTCGTCTATAGCTACGTTAAATAACCAGAGGGTGGCCGTCAAACGCCGCCGTCATCTTGATCGAAGCTTCCTGGCCCAGCTTTGAAGCTGGAGAAAAGCTGTTCATATGGTGTTTTAATGGAAATCTATATGGATTTATATGGGATTTATACAGGATGGGGCCCCCGTTCGATAGCGTTCAGTTGACATATAAGTGGCTGAATTCTATGGATTATGGTAGATATAAGGAACTAGATAACTATAGTTAATGGGGTTTAGAAGCCAACAAACATAACTGGGGGGCACCATCCTGTATGGATTATATGGATTTATATTTATATGGCATTTACAGTAATCTGATTTGGTGGCATACCCTAGGGTAAACATGCAAAAACATGTGGAAAAGCCATGCTTTCCCTAGGGAAATAATCTACACATGGTAGCTTGTTCCACATGTGTGTTAGTCTACGGAAGGTGATGATTCATCAACAATCATCATCATCATCATCATCATCATCATCATCATGATGCCCACCCTGTGATAGTCAGAATAAACCTTAAAACTAGCGCAACATCCGACCATCAAGGAAATCATCCCTAAATCTTGACTTATGAGAGGTATTGTATTCCCAACAGGATGATGAATTCTACTGGAAGTCACCACGAACTTCGTAGCACTCAGTGTCACACTGCACGGAGCATCACGGCGTGGTTTTTTCAAATATGGCTTTGGAGCCAGGGCTTTCCTCGGCCCCAAGGCCCCAAGTTCTGGAACGAGGCAGGGAGGCAAGTCTTGCAGTAAACAGATTATGGTAGAAGTATGTAGAAGTTACGTATTACCATCTGGTTATTTAACATAGCCATGGAAAATCACCATTTTTAATAGGTAAACAATCTATAAATAGGCCATTTTCCATGGCTATGTTAAATAACCAGAGGGTATACGTATCCTATCCGATCCTATATCTTATATCATATAGCATATATCGAAAATCATGTACATCATATGATATAATGCAATAGCGTATCAATAATATCATAATCATGAATCATAATCACATTCAAAATCATATCGTAATCATAATCATAATCGGGATAATAATCATTATCATAACCATAATCATACGTAATTATAATCATATCATGTCATATCATAACATCACATATCATATATCGTACCAGATCATGTCATTTCATTAATACACATCAAAAATATTGCGTTATATTATATCGTCTAATCTTTCTTTTGTCATATCATCTAATGTCATGTCATTTCATTTCATATTATATTAGATGTATGACATTCTATTTCTATTAGTGTGAGTGAGTTGGAGGGATCTCCCCCCGGTGGCAAGGAACTCGGTGGCGCGTCGACACCCGAATGATCCGCATCCTGCAGTGGCCGATCCAAAAATCGTGGCCATTCGGGGCTAGAAAAGCAACGTTCGTGTACCTAAAAGGATTCAAATCTGTGTGACTCCCTTTGCTTTTGGGGAGAGGGGGATCAGCTTCGATGCTTGGGAGTTCCTCTTAGCGCTTGGTACTGTACATTTGGACATGGCCCCTGGTCATTTTCAATTCCAACGTTAAGACATCAAAGAAGCATGGCTATTAAATGCTATTTGTATTAAGCGGATCCAATATGTGTTTGCCGAAATCCCATGTGGGCTGATTTTCGTTCAGCGCATCATCTGTTGTTTCATCTTTTAACGGCGTTGGATCATTGGAAGGACACCCTTTGATCGACTGGGTCTGATTGATTTCATGTCATGTTTCCAATAACCTGTAGTTTACGATGAATATGAAAACCTACATGACCTACATCATCAAAAATCCAGGCCCAAAATGGATGTTACAAAATCATCAAACATCATGAACAAATCGAGGTACAACCCCCCCTGCTCTTCCAGCCCAACAGAGATTGGCAGCGCACCCCGGTGCTAAACTCATGGTGATCAGCCCGTCACCATTGAGACATGGAGGTTTCTAGCTGGGAAAATCATCGAAAAACGGGTGGACCTTCCAATGGAAAATGTTTGGGACATTTTGCTGAGATACCCTCTGGTAAACTAACAGTTTGCTATTGAAAATGGCTATTGATAGTGAGTTTTCCCATTAAAAATGGTGATTTTCCAGTTCGCTATGTTAGTTTACCAGAGGGTAAATCATTTCAGGGTCCAATTCTTTCGAGAAAGGCCGGGTCGCTGGGCCACCTCTGAAGAGCGTCCAAATTTTGCCATCGCCAGCATGGCGGCCCTGGAGCCGAGGACTTTCTTGGGAGATGCTTGGAGATAGTCATTTCATGTCATTTCTATATGTTTAAGGATTCATTAATGATGTTGAATGTTCTAATATGAATCAAACATACTAGTACTACTTACTAATTTCTATGTTGATGCTCCATATCAATAATTCTACTGCTTGCAAGACTTGCTGCCGTGCATCCCAGTTGGCAAGTGCTTTTGTATCAGCCATATACAGTTGGGCTGATCCCACTTGTAGATCGGTACACCATGGTTGTGAATCACACACCAGCTGAGATACAAATGAAAGGACGAAAGGAGTACCGACCCAAAGCAGAGTGGGGATATGAATGATAGAAGGAACCATATGACCCAAAACAGATAACATGGGAATCAATTGGATCATTTTATGGTTGTCTTCGTCAACTGGGAATGGGGGAAAAAAACTTTGGAAAACAAAGGAGATGTTCTGGATTTTAAACAGGCGTTCATTCTATTTTGGGCATTGTTGGGTCAACTACGGTGACAGTGGCAACTGCTGGTTCTGATTCTGAGATCACCTTTTGGTTCCCACCAATGCCGCTGCTTCCATGTCACTCAGCAATCCAAGAAACAGCTGAGTCTTCTGGTTGTGTCGCTCGCCCGGGCTAAGGGCCGTGAAAACTCCCTTGAAGGAGAGAACATCAGGTTGGATCTCCAAAACTGATGTTCTGCTCAGCAAGAGATGCGCCATCTGCCAGCTTCGTGCGCTTCCACAAGCACCGATGGCAGCATTGAATGTGATGAGATCAGCTCGAAGCTTGGAATCATCCAATTCATGCAGAATCCAAATTGCTGCTTGCCATTTACCAGACTTCTCACAAGCACTACATACAGCATTGAAGCTCGTCAAGGTTGGTTGGAACTCTTTGTTCCTCATCTGCTCCAAGAGATCCACAGCCTCCTTCCACTTCGCGGCCTTTTCAAAGGCACTGATGGCTGCATTGTACGTGATGACGTTGCACTCCTTGAGCCTTTCTGCGGTGCCCAGCAGCCGCAGTGCCTGTTCCCATTCCGAGGCTTTCTCACAGGCCGTCAGCGCTGCGCTGAGGGTCACCACAGAGGCCAGGCTTCTGGCAGAGGCACGTTCCAACAGCTGAAGCGACTGCTGCCATTCAGATGCCTTCCCACAGGCACTTACAGCTGCACTGTAGGTGAAGGCATTTGTGGCCTTTTGGTGCTTGGAATACTTGGAAGATGTGGAATTTTCGGTGTGTTGCTCTTTGTCCTGCTGTTGGCCATTTTCGGCCTCCAGCAGCAACCGCAAGGCCTGCTGCCATGCACTGCTCTTTTCACAGGCGCTCACTGTAGCCGAGTACATCACCACATCAGCATCCACCGAATCATCATCGATGGAAGAAAAAAGATGTAGCGCATGTTGCCACTTGGCCGCTTTTTCACAGGCACTGATGACAGCACTCAGAGTCATTCGATCCATCAAACCATGACTCCTTGCATCCCGCAACAGCTGTAGAGCTTGGGTCCATTCAGCCGCCTTCTCGCATGCACTGGCTGCAGCTGAGTAACTGATGACATCAGCATCCCAAGTATCACTGGATCCCATCCGACTCAGCAAATGGATGGCTCTGGGCCACTCCTCGGCTTTTCCACAGGCTGTGATGGCGGCATTGCAGCTCACCACGTCCACCTGTACCAACATCATCTGAGCCTGGCGCATGGTGCAGCTGTGGGCCCCTTTTTTGGGTTGAACCCAACGGGGAATGAAGAGTTTCCCTCTGGCACGAGTGAACCTGGTAGTGTAAAATCCACCACTAAATGTTGTCATTTTTCTCCTTGCAGCTTCCCCGCGTTGGAGTATTTTATTGTGTCACCTCCCCCAATTAACGTTTGCTTTTTGTTCGGTATCAAGTCTGACCCTTTTACACCTTCTTGATAGCCGCTGCCCCCGCAGCTTGCAGAGAGGCCCCCTGGCCCTGCGCGCCAGGTTGTATGTTTGCCCTTTGGCTCTACACTATGATTTGCACTGTGCGAGTACAGTTACTTCCCTTTCCTTGTACTTGTAATTAGTCACATTCTAGAGTGACCGACACGATCTTGCATGCACCATTTAGTTCGATGATATTCCCAGCTGTAAACCCCCATGTTGACCAAAATTTTCTCTTTGCCATGTTTGATTACCAAAGGATATGAAAACCCAAAAGTTTCAGACTTTCGGTTTTTCTCCACAGGCCTGCTGCAAGATGCTGAGAGCTTCTTGCCACTTGCCCGCTTTTTCACAGGCGCTGATGGCAGAGTTACAACTGATGGTATCAGCTTTCAGAAGTTTCATCTCCATCAGCTCTAGCAGCTCCAAAGCCTGCTGCCATTCCGAGGCCTTCCCGCAGGCGCTGATGGCGGAGTTGTAGGTCACCAGGTCGGCTCCCAGCACCTCTGCCAGCAGGGCTAGGGCTGCATGCCATGCAGCGAAGGTCTCGCAGACACTCACCGTGGCGTTGAAGCTGATGACACTGGGAGTTACCAAAGATCTTTTAGCTTCACCTTAGATCCAGCAGTAGCTTCAATACAAAATAATACAAATACCTTCCGATGTGTTATGTATTGCAGATCTCCCGTCTTCACAGTTCAAAGGAGCAACAAAAAATACGGCTTCGCCACATGGTCCAAGTCGCCCAGCAATTCCAAGGCGTGCTGCCACGGCAGGTCCCCTTTGGGATGTTTCCGACAGGCCACGATTGCCTTGGTGTAATCCACAATGGACCACCCCGACGTGGAGCCCATGGTCGGTGTCATGGCATCTGGAGCCACAAATGGTGGGCCCAGGGCAGTGGTTGATCACCGGTTTTCCCCTGATTCAGGTGGGTGGTTTTTGCATTTTTTCCCCATGTTCAGACCCAACTGTCTAATTTTCAGTGCTGCCAAGAAAAATTGGAAGTGGAGTTCTGGAGTTTATTTTCACCTGAAGATCTCGAAAAATTGGGCCATGTTCCAAGCCACATCAAGACATTGATGAATCTAGAGACTTGTGAATCTCTTGGCCCACCATTCCAGGCACATTGAAAACTGCGGTAAACCGAACATCGAACCGAACTTCGAACTCAAAAAAAAAGGTCAACTCAAAAAAAGGTCACTTCATGTCACTTCCACTTTTCTTTCAGAAACTCATCAAGGGTTCCTTAAATCCATGGTTTCATGATGTTTCAAGGAAGGGATTTAACATATATTCCACAGATTTAACCATCAATCTCCATATCTTGTGGCCCATAGAAATTTTGCTGCAAGTTCCATCCCTTCCAGGCCCTGCGGCGTCCAGGCTTCATGTGGTGTTCCACCTGTTTCATACCTGTTTCACCATGTCCTGGGGAGTCAACATCTAAGCCCATTTTAAGCCCTAACCAGAGATTTTTGTCATATTTGTTTATATTATATGTTTATATATGTTTACTATTCACCATCTATTAACCATCTATTGGGGCACCATTCGTTTTGATACCGCCATCGACATCTCTGGTGCCTCAATAGCTGTGAGCCTCGAGAGGTCCACCTGGTGCTCGGCCAGGAAATCACTGGGAAGATGGCGCTGCCATGGGGGATGGCTGACCATCAAAATCTTTGGGGTTTTACATGGTTTTACCATCAAAATATCTCCAAATTATGGTGAATATGGATGAATATGGGGAATTGATTTGAGGGCAAACTCTACGGAAACCGTTGGATTTCTTCGAAACTAAAACCGGGACGGCCGATGAATACATGGGTATTGGCCCATCCCGTCACCATCACCATCATCACACCACCATCAGTAGCATAATGATCATGTCATAGGTAGTATCCTTTGGAAGGAACACTTCATATGTTTGCTTTCGGACTAACTGTTGGGATACAGCCCAAATTGACAAAATGGAAGGGGGAGTGGAAAGTGTGGCTCTACAAGGGGCTTGGATAGACCCATCATAATTCATAATGTTTGCAAACCTTATATGTTTTTGGTATAAACCATCACAATGGTATAATCACTCATATCAATCATATTGGTATAATCTATATAAACCATAGATCACTTAACTATATCCATCATGATGGTATAATCATCATAAGGGTGTGTCTGAAAATAGTGTACCCCTAAACCCAATGGTTAATGATCATTATCCCTATTAAATGGCTATAATTGGGAATATACCCTATTTTCAGACAAACCCATAAAGCCTCATTTTTGGTTGGTCAAACTTCCAAATTTTGCGCCTCCAAGCATCGCTTCATGAAATGCTGAAAAAGCCTGGCGCGAGAATTCTCGAGATTTTTCCCCCATGGTCCCCAGGTTTCCCATGAAATCCTTTAGAAAGGAAAATCACCATGAAAAACATCTATAAAATCTATAAATACCTTTGAAAATTCCATGGATTTGTTGAAAATCCCAAAATCTCAGGTGTGTCACTGTATGTCACTGTCCAAAAACCTTCCTCAGAGGCGCCGAGGGGAAACCGAATGCCATTGGCTCAGTTGGAGAACAAGCCGCTGCCGGCGCTGAAAAAGGAACTCCTCCCATTGGAATGGTTGGTTCATCAACTTTGAAATATGCAGCATCAAACCATTAAAGTTTCAAAGTTGATGAACCAACCATTTTAATGCTACCTTGGTTCATCATGAAGCATAGAAATTGATTACTTCCCAAGGTAGCATTAAACATCAAAAAAAAACCAATGGTAGACAAATGCCAGGCCATTGCCCGGCGGAAATCTGCAGAAAATCGGAAACGAACATGGTGTACCCCATTGATTTACCACGCTTTACCTATGTTTACCCATGGAAAATGGCCTATTTATAGCTGGTTTACCTATTAAACATGCTCATCTTCGGCTATGTTAGTTTACCAGAGGGTAGCCGCGTAGCCCAGTGGTTGCGCCGCGTCTTGGCGACTCTTTTTGGCTCTTGGAATTCACCCAAAGATACCGAGCTTGTCACAGGGTTCAAGTGCCGCAAAGTGGCTCCTTTCCGCTGCCAGCACTTCCGGCGCCACCTTGCTAAGTTAAAATGTCAGGTGTCCATAATTCAGATAGTTTTAGATGATTTCTGCACCATGATCTTCTATACAGGAATGTACGGGAACACCATAGTTCAACTCGGCTTTATCATTCTTAAAATATAACGAACAGCAAAATAACCCGATCCGGGATCCCACCAATGGCACAAGCGAAATGTTGAAGCTATGTGGGTTTCTCCATTTGATGTCTCTCAATTCAACCGAACATCAAGCGACCTTAAGCCTTAAATAGCCTTAAGCCATGTGTTGTTTTTGTTCTGCACTCAATTGTCCATCCAAAATTCAACAATTCAACAAAACGTCAAGCCCACCTAGCCATGTTCTCGTCTTTCCCTCCAAATTGTCCAACATTCCGCTGAGGCGCGATGTATCCCGGGTTCTGCAGCGACTCGGCACCGCTGCCTGACGCTGTGAGTTGTGGGATCCAAAATCATCCAGCAGTTGATGGATCTGATTTTGATAATTTTTGATATAATATATATATATATATGTGTGTGTGTGTTGATGTGATTTATTGTGGATTCTGATGTTGTGATGCTGAAATCCACTGGAGCTGCTGAATCTGTGGAGATCCAAACACTTTTGAAGGATGAAACATCAAACTGATCCTAACGGATCACCACATTTCGGTGCTGCGTTTTCCCTACACTCCCGCCTCGTTGTGGTGGTTGGTGGCCACCTGAGATGGGGAAAAGGTGGCCACTTTTGAAGTGGCAGAAAGTGGTGATATGCAGTATGCAGTACATGTGCATGTGCCTATTCACATTATGTCATACTAAACTTCACAAATATATGCGTTACAGATTGTTACAGTCTCTTTGATTGCTTCATATGCGCTCTCAAAGGATGGTCCATTTTCAAAAGTCGGTGCCATCTGCCCACTTTGCTCCCAAAGATAAGGAGCCATCTTCGACATGAAAAGAGGACTGTACAACCACATTTCGGCAACAGCCTGGATTCCTGGCCAGAAGGACACCTTGCATCATGGGGCTGGGTTCAAAGCACCACGCAGCGCACGCATCTCGTCTTGAGACGCGGATGATGCGGGCTGTGGGAATCCATCCAGTGGCTGAGCTGAAGCACACCTCAGTCCAGGTGACAATTCCATCAACCGCAGTGCTTTGGGATCGAAGGGTCGTCTTGGGAAATTCCTGGGAGTCTGGGAATGGCATCTCCATGTCTATCGAGCAAAGCGTGACTGCCTCACTGAGAATGGCGTGCTCCACTTGCCACAGACTGCAGGGAAACCTCTGTGGAACCGGCACGTCTGGATGCAGCTCGTTGATGGCAGAAACATCCACCCCCTGCACGGGGCCACTGATTCGTTGGCGTCGTCTCCAAAGATCCCTGCAACCCAAGAGGGCCGCCTTCACACGAAAGGCGCGGGGCAGGAAAATGCAGCTGGACTTCAGGGCGAAACGAAGAGCATCCACTTGAGCCCAGTGATGCCAGAATTGACAGTCGCACGGTAAGCCTTCGCATTCTTTGGCAAAAGGCTCACCAGAAACCATCGAGATGATCTTCCTTTCCAGGCTGGGAGAGCCTAAAACATGAAGCACCTTAGGTCCGAAACATCTCAGAGATGCCTTCACCCAGGGTTTCAGCACATCTTTCCCAACCTTCAGATCCTCCTTGTTGGATTCCAAGCAGATGATCCTCGGTCCCCGCCCTGCCAGCTGCAGCAATCGCCTTAGGCGGCGGCCGCCGCAACGTCGGAAGGAGCTGAGGCAAAGGCGGGCCATGATGGGTCCATCTGAGAGGTCCAACACCTGGCGCTTGGAAAAGAACTTTGGAGAATGGGGCAGATATGTCTTGGAGATTCAAAAAAAATGATCATGAGATGAGATGAGATGAGATGAGATTATATAAGATGAAATGACATTACATGACACGATATGACATGACATGACACGACACGACACGATATGACATGATATGATAGGTTCGAAACCCCTAGGGATTGAACAAACTGAGGATGTGAAATGAGGAGAAAAATCCGGATATCCAACCCAGTTTGAAAGATCCAAACTTGGACTTCCAATCCCCGAAAATCCGCCGTTTCCATCCATTTCTCCCCACCTGAATAGGACCCCGTGAGTGGAGCGACTTTAAGGACTTCACGGCCAAATCCATGGCATGCTGGATCTGCTGGTACTTCTGGCGGTTCGACAGCATCCAGAGTCTTTGAGGAGATATCAGACTTAAGGTACTGGAGCCCCGCGGCAACGAGATCGAGCTGTCACCAGGATCAGGGACCTCCACAATCCTGAACCAAATATCTTCATCCGTGTGGAATGCCATCAATGACAACGTCTCCCCCGCCTCCAGAAATCTCCGCTGTGGCAGGACACACACTGCTTGTCGCCAGTGGCCAATCTCTGGCCGTTTCGTGGCAGTCCATGGGGCATTGGTCATGCTGGCACGGTGATCTCCACGACGCATGTAGCACTGCCACCAAAACACGATGGCATCCACTCGTCCGGACGCCTCCAGCTTTACCTCCAGCATCTTGGATCCGCTGGTCGCCGGCAGGTGCTCGAAGTCGAAGAACAGCGCTGGAAAATCCTGGGTCAACACCCGAGCTTGCCCTGCGGCCACCAATTTTTCTAGCACCACATCGTGTGGATTAGCATCCCCATCATCTCTCCGATAGACATCAGGCGCCCACCATGCAGATTCCACGCTTTGAAAAGAAGCCAAGACTTCGCTTTCCACTGCACAAGCCAACACATCAGCGGCCGCTGGGATGGCAAAATATTGGTCTTGCAACAAACATCGCGCGGCATGGCGCAAGGTTCCCAGACAATCTTCTCCCAGCAGAGCAGCATCCAGAATTTCAGCCACCACCAGCTTCGCGCGCTTCGCGCCTGCCAGGCTCATATCTGTAGATGGAACCGCATGCACCGTGAATTTGGCGTTTAGACCATTGTTCACGGCATTTCGTCTCGCAACCTCTGCTAAAGTTGGATCGCGTTCATACGCAATGACTTCTGGAATTTCCGGGCACCGCTGTAGCAACGCTAATCCCAAGATCCCTGAACCGCAGCCAATGTCTAAAGCTCTATGGTCGAGCACTTCGTTTGGCAGTCTGTCAAAGGCATTACAGAAGGCTTCCAGTCGCGCATCATCATGGAGCATGTCAAAATGCCAGGCATAGTTTTCACTCGACAAATGCGACAAATCGATTTGTAGATCGCCGGCGTCAGCATCGAAGTGCTTCAAATCTCGAGGTGTTCTCGAACGACTCCGCTGCATGGCCGGGATCAGAAGTTGTGTTTCGAGGCACATGCTGCGGGTCGAGCAACATCACTGGCACTGGAATGACTGGAATGATGAATCTCTGCCATTCTCTGCCAAGGTGCAAAATACATCGTTCTGCCAGTAACGGTTTTCCCACCGCAGTTTCTGACCTGGTGCCGGCAACATCCAGTTGTCCAAGCCACTGCTATTGGATCGCATGTGTCATTCAGGCTGGGCCCCAAGCATTCCACGTGTCAGATGTGTCAGATGTCCAAATGATCCCAAAACAGAGACAGCATTTTAGTTGACTAAAACCTAGTTTTACAATGTTTTACCCTCTAGTAAGTTTACATAGCTATTGAAAATGACCATTTATAGTGGATTTTCCCATGAAAAATTGTGATTTTCCATAGCTATGTTAGTTTACCAGAGGGTACCATATGTTCCCCTTTTTGCAAATCCATGGCTCCAGAAACCAAGAAAACCAAGTTGCCAAATGACCTGAAATGGCTGCTGGAGGAACATGCTCATTTTGAGCCAGGAACATGTCATACCATTTCATGTGGTGCTAACCTGGTTACCTCCCAATCCTAAATCTCCCATGGAATCCCCAATGATCAAATCCTTATACTGCAAAAAAAACATGTGAAAAACCCACATTTCTCGACTCCATCATGGATATCATGGTATATCCCCATTCACAATGGGCCCTCTGCCTGCCGCACATTTATGGAGCCCGGCGAGATCGCCATGGCTAAAAAAAAGCTGATCCCATCAGTACCAGATGCAACTGATTCATGGAAAGTTTGATTAAAGGATATTAACGGATTCCAAATTGCTGGATTATATTGATTATATAAAGGATATGATCGGCTCATGAAAATGAATTAGAAACTGATTTTGATTGATTTTGTTTACTCCTTCGAATCAGCTTCAACATAGTAAGAGGTTTTGACCCATCATGAAGTTTTGTGCAGATGGATACATGTGGCATTCACCTCAGTTGGAAGCCGAAAAAATATCCATCAAGCGTTTGAAAAGATGTAGCGATGACAACTTGGCGCTGGGACAAGTGCAGAACCTGACGATTTTGCTGGAAACTGGCCACGCGCATCTTTTAAACAGCACCGAGCTTGTCAACTGTTGGGCTTGGCAAGTGTCCCTTTTTGGGGCTCTTGAAATATTTTGAACATCCGAAGTATCTCTTGGAGATTCAATTATTATATATATATATATATATGTATATATCCCTAATAGTTGGTGTTTCAGACATTTACCAAGCCCTGAGAGTTCTGTTGGGGTTTTTGTAACCACCCAAACACTAGGCTCTGCATGGTCCACTTTGACTCATGCCACCGCCAGGCCGACGGATGTGAAACGAAACGCCGAAACGCCCAGCTCAAACAGTGTTCGCTGGAGCCTCTGAGAAATCAAAGCATCCAACAGATACCCACATCAACAGAGTGACAGATGGATTGGACATCACAAGAAATAGTGTGGGTTTAGAATTTAGAAGATGTGTAAATACTCAATAATCTCAATATACAGACTGCAATGTACACATTGCAAATAGATTGGTAGCTGCTGGTCGCCATCTTTCAACGATTCCCGCCTCCCGGCTAAGCTGCGACATTGTGCCCTGGCGCCAGAAATCCTCATCCCTTATGGAAATTCAATGAACATCATGAACAAAAACTCAGCTACCAGGGTGCATCACTTAAAAGATGATCCCGAAAAAAAAAAAAAACTCCAAAATGTCGGCCATGTTCGCTCCGGCTCCGCAACATCGCCTGGAACGGAAGGAGTTCGCCTGGCGCATGTCCTTGCCGTGAAGAGCGACCTGACTCAACAAACGGGTGGCCTTTTGGGGAAAACCAGAGGGAAAAAAAACCTCTTCAGTTTTTTGGAGTGCGGATCACTGTGAGATCTTGAAACCAAAAAAAATTGAGTCATCTGTGTCATGACTGCCCCAATAGGAGTCCAATAGGAGGCGGTCGAACTCGGGCGCCCCAACGTGAGCCGCGCACTCCCGTATGGGAATGCCGCCGGTGGTGCACAGGTGCCCCGGGGGCACTGGGAACTGCCTCGACTTGAAGATAATCCATGGCTTGCATCTGCAGCAACTTATACACCTGGAGAGCCGGGCTGAAGTCTGCTGAGAAAAACAATAGAAAAACCACAGGGGAAAATACTGGAACCGGGATTTCTTCAAGTCCAAGAGGTCTAAGTCTAAGCATCTACGAATCCTGGAACTTTCGTGAGTTCCCCTCAGTGATGCTGTGGTGTCACTATGGTCGCAAGATTCGGAAAAACAAAGTCAACATCTTTAGAAAAGTGGGGAACGGGTCAAAACGGGTCAAAATGGTCAGCATCTTCTGGTGAATTTCTGCCAACCCTCAGGAAATTCATCTATCCATCGCACCTTCCAGCACAAGCAACTAGCCACTAGCCTGAAGTCAGGCACGGTTAATGGGATGGCCCAATGAATGTCGAGTGTTTTACGTAAAAAAAAGAAAGGATCAACCGTAAGATTTTGGGGTATCCCGTGTCTAGACAAACCTAGACAAACCAAGATGAAACCTCTCAAGAATGGCCAGCTGCCCGTTTTGTTGGACAGTGATCAAAGATATCCAAGGATCTCACTGGCTCAAGGAGCTAAAGAAGACCAAGACCGGGAGATAGCACACCGGCCTGCCATCGAAAATGGGATTCTTCACACCAAAGCAATGTCCTCCTATTTTGTCTTGTGATTCAAGTATAAACATGCATCTTCCTTTGATCTACTCCAGAAACATCAACATATGGGGGTTTCCATAAATAGGGCTACCGCCAAATCATCCATTTTAATAGGATGTTCCTGATGTTCCATCATAAACCATCCATTTTAGGGGTACCTCATTTATGGAAACCCCCTATGGATAGTAAATGGATAGGAATTCATATTGTAAGCATCCCCTTTCGCATGCTTCGGCCTCTGAGAGCATGGCAACAGGCTGCCATACTTTGTGGCAAAGGTGTACCTGTTGCGAAATGGCGTTTGGGCTTCAGTCGGAAGGTGTCGATCTATGCCGATCTATGCCGATCTATGGGGGGTTCCCATCCGTCATCAGGGTACCCCATCCCACTACCCCGGCCATCAGCCGCGCACACTCTCAGCAGGCCAAAGGCGCAGTTCAAGGACGCCATCAGCAAATAGGGGAGCAACTGGGCACCAGTTGAGTGGTTCATCCCACTTTTCAAGGAGAGCTTGGGGTGGAACTACATGCAAATTCTTGCTAAGCACCAACTGGCATTCCTAGGTACCCCAAAGTTGATAGTCAGAATTGTCCCATAGTGTCCCCATTTATATCATGACTATAAATTCGAGTTATCAATCATTTTGAGACCCCTGATTATCCCCTGTTGTTTGTGATGTCCCATTATATCATATCCCACAAAAATATTCTTACAAAATGAATAGTTGAATCACCCATAAAAGTGAAAGTGCTGGACAAACCAACAAAAAAGTCGAGTTGAATCCCTATTATATTCTGGTTTAAATCCTCATTAGATGTGGAGAACCCACTGTTTGTAGATGTTTTTCCGAACGGGAAACACATGCAAATGACCCTGATGACCCAACTCACCAAGCCAGGCGACACAGCTCAAGCCGCCATCGCTCATGACACCCAGCCCAGTCTCCTGTGGCATTTTGAGGCTTTGTAACGTACCCATTGCTGGTAAATATGAATCAAATACAACTAGGAACCCGGCGCATAGACGGCCGTGGCTCAAAATGAAGAATGAGTATCATCCAGCTTGATTTTCTGCACGTTTGTAAGGGGATTTCTCAAGTTTCAGGTGTATACACTTTTTGTGGCTGAATTCCATTGGAAAGTTAGCAAAATGGCGTTTTCGCCTCAGCGAAACGATCATTTTAATGTTTTTTTGAAATGACGTAACTACTTTGTCTATGCCAGGATTTGCTTCTTTTTTTCCTCATCTGACAGCATCAATCCTGCGGCAGGAGGTCTTCCAAGTGTTCCAAAAATTCGCAGCAGCGTAGCAGCAGCGTAGCATCCACGTACGCAGGCAAGGTACATGAACGTTAATATCCCCCCCACCCCACCCATGCCCAGTGACGTAGCAGCAGCGTAGCATCCATGTATGTAGGCAAGGTACATGAACGTTAATATCCCCCCCACCCCACCCATGCCCAGTGACGTAGCAGCAGCGTAGCATCCACGTATGTAGGCAAGGTACATGAACGTTAATATCCCCCCCACCCCACCCATGCCCAGTGACGTAGCAGCAGCGTAGCATCCACGTATGTAGGCAAGGTACATGAACGTTAATATCCCCCCCACCCCACCCATGCCCAGTGACGTAGCAGCAGCGTAGCATCCATGTATGTAGGCAAGGTACATGAACGTTAATATCCCCCCCACCCCACCCATGCCCAGTGACGTAGCAGCAGCGTAGCATCCACGTATGTAGGCAAGGTACATGAACGTTAATATCCCCCCCACCCCACCCATGCCCAGTGACGTAGCAGCAGCGTAGCATCCACGTATGTAGGCAAGGTACATGAACGTTAATATCCCCCCCACCCCACCCATGCCCAGTGACGTAGCAGCAGCATAGCATCCACGTATGTAGGCAAGGTACATGAACGTTAATATCCCCCCCCCACCCCACCCAACCCCGTTTTGCTAAAATATGTATTTCGGTCCACGGCCGTCTATGCGCCGGGTACCAACTACATGGTTCCCGACCCATAGACGGCCGTATGGTTTTAGGAGTTTTTCATCAACAAAAATGTCGTTTTCGCTACAGCGAAACGTCATTTTTTCTCATGTTGACGTGAAAAATAGGGTTTTGAAAATCTCCAAAACTACTTCGTTTTTTGACATAAGTTCGTGTTTTTTTGGGATGCAGCACTTTTTTCCTTCTTCTCAGAAGCGCTTCATTGCTTTGACGGCCTTGCAAAGTTCTTCGAGAAACCGGTGAGGTGTCAATGGTCCCAAAGATTTTCGCCAACAGAAACTTTTCCAATTCAGGGTGTTCTTTTGTGTTGACTCCATCATACAACCGTCTTGGAAAGGCCTTTCCACCATCTGTCAGCGATTTGCGTCCCTGCCACAGTGGACAGGAAAAAAAAGGAGGTTCTTCGCATTTGTTTGGTCCATTCTTTGTTTTGATGAGACACTTTGGCATGTTTGATTTTCAAACTTTTGGCATGTGACTCCCAAGCACGGTTTCCATCTGCAAAAACAATGGTGCGCATGACGTGTGTGTGCAAGTGCAAGAGAAGATCACCATAGCGTAGCATGACGTGTGTGAGCAAGTGCAAGAGAAGATCACCATAACGTAGCATGACGTGTGTGAGCAAGTGCAAGAGAAGATCACCATAACGTAGCATGACGTGTGTGTGCAAGTGCAGGAGAACATAACAATAACGTAGCATGACGTGTGTGTGTGCAAGTTGACATGAACGTCATTGCCCCACCCCACCCCACCCAACCCCACCCCAAGACAACCATAACGTAGCATGACGTGTGTGTGCAAGTGCAAGAGAAGACCACCATAGCCTAGCATGACGTGTGTGAGCAAGTGCAAGAGAAGATCACCATAACGTAGCATGACGTGTGTGAGCAAGTGCAAGAGAAGATCACCATAACGTAGCATGACGTGTGTGTGTGTGTGTGCAAGTGCAAGAGAACATAACAATAACGTAGCATGACGTGCGTGGGCAAGTTGACATGAACGTCATTGCCCCACCCCACCCCACCCAACCCCACCCCAAGATAACCATAACGTAGCATGACGTCTGTGTGCTAGTTGACATGCAAGACCATCAAAAAAAAAAAAAATGCCAAAAAATGCTTAAAACACCACGGCCGTCTATGGGTCGGGCTCCAACTACATATTATATTTATAAATCATGGGTAATCATTTTTCTTACACACCAATGTTTTATTATATAGTTGTGTCTGTTTGATTTGTTTTTAATGATATCTTAATTAGTTGTTACTATTGCCAAACAAAACCAAGTAAAATCGGACCATGGAAACAGGTATATTATGGGGATACAATGGGATATAACGAGACATAATGGGATATATCAGCAACAATTAGGGTTACACGGTTACACTTCGGTAGTCATGACATAACAATGGTCACTTTGCTATGCCCATTTCCTTCGATGATTTCCCGTCTGGGGTTGGTCATTTCAAAAGGGGGATCTTGCCATGAAAAATCAGGCTTTAACCGTTTAACCATCTACCAGAGGAATTCAATGGGAAATTTCGGGGGATTACATCCGGAGTTGATTGGGAAAAATAAGGGGTCTACCCATGTTTCCAGGCAACAGTTTTCAGCATGGGGAAAATATCGATGTGGTTTTCAGAGAACCCATGATGGTGATGTTTCACCGCCAAAACATGGGGATAGATTGGATAAATACTTTCATGTTTAATGGGGATATAACATGTTTCAATCATCAAGGAAATGGTTTGGATATATTGCACTGAGAAGTTTTTCCATGTTGCCTAAACACTGATGCGCGCATGAAATCAAAATGTGGGTCCCCCGAAACATCCCCGATAGTTTTAAAAAAAAACAGAGCATAGCTGCATAGCCCCTAGCAATGAAACCTGAGAATAGGACAGTAACATCCTCAGAAAATATCTTGGGCATAGCTAGATCAGTTGATTGAATATTTTTAGTCAATAGGAATTTCAGGATCCTAAAATGGAGATACGTTAGTACCATTTTTCATTCCATATTTTGTGGGGATATTCCCTTGCATAGGCCTGAAAAATAATGAAAAATAGACCTTATATATATATGGTAGGCACCTCCAATTTGGGTTCCTGAAATGGCATTGCTGAAATCATTTATTTCCATGGTCCTGTTAAGTCAGGTCCTGCAAGCAGCGAAAGCACGGAGCCAAAGCTGGGTCCTGGTGACAGGCTGTTCTAGGTTGAAGTAGCTTGTAGGTGACGCAATATCAAGATATAATATGACGCAGGTATCTATATATATATATATAAAATAGACATCGACCTCTGTAGAAATAGGTACATATGTAGATATATATATATATCATAGAGAGAGAGAGATATAGATATATTTTACATAGATATACTGTAAAGATATATTGTTGAGATATTACAGAGACATATTGTATACATATATACATACAGATAGATACATGCATGCAGCTGCATGCATATATATAATATAATATAATATAATATGATATGATATGATATAATATAATACAATACAATATAAAATACTATAATATAATATGATATAATATAATATAATATATTATAATATAATATAATATAATATAATATAATAAATAATGTAATATAATATAATATGATATGATATGATATAATATGATATGATATAATATAAAAATATATAATATAAAAATATATAATATATAATATATCATATATAATATATCATATATAATATATAATATATAATATATATAATATATATAATATATAATATATAATATATATAATATATATAATATAATATATATAATATATAATATATAATATATAATATATAATATATAATATATAATATATAATATATAATATATATATAATATAATATATAATATTTAATATATAATATATAATATATATAATATAATATATAATATTTAATATATAATATACAATATATAATATATAATATAATATAATATCATTAGTTGTGAGATGTAAAGCATAGATACTCAAAAAGGTTCATTCTATCCAGGCTCACATCCGCATGGCTTTTTCTTCCCAAACTCTTCGTGCGGTCTCAACCTGCTCCTCGCAGGATAGTGCTTTGGAATGCTGTGCAGGTAGTCTCCTGCACAGCAGCACTGGTTGGATCCGTACACCCTGTTCCGCACTCCTGTAAACTCAGGAGGCTACACAGGTTGAATCTCTCCCGCCCAGTGCTACAGTCGTGGGACTCCACGTAGAGATCAGCATCCTCAATGATGTGATCCCCTACAAGGGAGGATACTCCACCGGAGTCCTACCTCATAGGGAGGGAAGGGAGGGAAAAGAAAGAACGATGAAGCCAGTTTGGCTCAGACTTGAGCCAAAATGGATTCATCAGCTTACATACTCACCCTAATGATAATGCACACCCAGTGCCTGCCAAACACGATGCATACATACATTAGTTGTGAGATGTAAAGCATAGATACTCAAAAAGGTTCACTCTGTCCAGGCTCACATCCGCATGGCTTTTTCTTCCCAAACTCTTCGTGCGGTCTCAACCTGCTCCTCGCAGGATAGTGCTTTGGAACGCTGTGCAGGTAGTCTCCTGCACAGCAGCACTGGTTGGATCCGTACACCCTGTTCCGCACTCCTGTAGACTCAGGAGGCTACACAGGTTGAATCTCTCCCAATGCACTTCATCCCAAAGCACTCAGAGAAACTCCACAACCCGGAGAAACGCGGGAAGTGGTAGAGACCAAATCTCGAAGGGGAAAAATGCAAAATGCGTGGTGAACCCATGGCATTTGTGCCATGTTGCCTGGAGGCCTTCACGGCTGATCTCATCAGACCAGTTGGCCTTACTAGGGATCCACTCCCAGAAAAACCAAGCCTTAAGACCAAAAAGAGTCATATGAATCAACCGTGACATATGCTCTAAATCTGCATTGTCAGAACGACCTCGAATCAATGCCATCAACGCTGCTGTGTTGTCGATGAACCAGAGACCTCGTCTGCCTCGAAATCTGGACGGCCGAGAAAACAAAGCGTAAAGCACTTGCAGCAGCTCCAACTGGGCAATCTTCTTGTCACCAGGCTCCCATAGGCTATACACCAATGGGGGAATGAGAGAAACAAACGCCTCTCGATGTTGCCGGTGATCATCATGCCACACCACCAAAAAGCCCCCAGTCCCCTGACCTGGGCTCTCCAACGCAGCATCCGAAGCAGCAAGGAAGCGGAGCCCTGCATGTGGCCAGATCTCAATGTGGCGAGAGGGACGGGTGGTGATAACAGTGCGCAGCAGGTCAAAGCTTTGGCGCAACTCCTCAGTTAACTCTGCGGAGCGCTCCTGCTGTCTGTGCTTGATTGGGGCCAAGCCACCGCAGCCAATGCGCCCCCACACGCCAAGCTCAAAGAAGTTGGCGATACCGTAGAGCTTGGCCGCCACCCCTGGTTGCAGCTTGCCGGAGTCCTCGGCGGTCTGCATGAGGTGAAGTCTCGATGCGTTCACGGGCCCAAAACTGAACCAGACCCTTCAAATGGACTTGACTGAAGTCGTGATCCAAGCCCAGGAAGGTGCCGGTACTCTGCATCTTCTAACATTTCTCCTCGGAAAACGGTGTACCCAAAAGGGTGTTGAGGGTCTGCAAGGCTCTCTGACCTGATCCTCGGCACGATTTGCGGTCTGTCAAGTGAGCATCATCGAAATACAGACTGGTCAAACAAAAGGCAAATCGACGTGATAAAGCCTCCACAAAACAACTGTATCGATTGAAAGATGTGACCGCAAGAGGAAGACCAAATAGCAAACCTGTGTAAATCATAAACGCTGGTTGTTGCCATTCATGATGGAAGAAGGCCACAATGCAGCACAAAGCCTCATCCCAACTCATAGGGCAAAAACGATAGGCATCCGGCCAATCCTCACCTCCGGACTCCCATTCCTCTGCCTCCCAGTTGGGTGAACTCCCAAAGGCGTAGGCATACTGCAGGTGTTGGGCCGGCCGCAGCGCTGAGCAAAGGGTGAGCTTGTTCGCGTCACTGGAGCGCTCAGATTGCAAGCCAACGTAAGCGTCGTCAATCACTCGTTGCTTCCCCGAGGATTGTGTGATGACGCATCGAGGGATCAACCGGTAGGGTTCCGCACCCAGACAACGCTGCAGTTCCTCTGCAGTCATGGGCAAACCACAAAATCCCTTCTCGGCATCTTTGAGGCTTTGCTGCAACAAAAACTCATCATCGGCACCTGGCTTGAGCCGAGCCAAAATGGTGTTGTTGTGGCTCTGCCAGTCCTGGAGTACATCCTCTCGCGTCAAACGGGTGGCAACTTGTTCCGGAAAAATGCCATATGGCGGCACATACCCCACTGCTGGAAGCCCCATACACAGGCCTGCTGGCAGTGTCACGTCGCCCCAATTGGCTACAAGAAGGAGAATTGCAGTGAAGCCGATATCACGCTGCATTGTTGCCGTCCTGATGGCCTCAGTCTCAAATGGGCCGTGATCGAGCTCCACCGTCTCTTCATCTCAGATAAGATGCCCATGGGGCGCTCTCGCAACCTACGCAGGTCAACTCCTGGCAGGCTGGAGAAAGATGCAGCAAACCTCAGGTCATCGTCCAAAATGGGAAGCCCCTCAGTAGGCAACGGTTGCATGCTGAGCTGAAGGGCTTGCTCAAAGTGCTGGTCTGGCTGAAGGTGAAAGGGCAGAAGAGGGGCCAGCGCCGCTCTGTGGTTGATCGCTCCCACCTGCTGACCGTCTGCCGTCCTCATCTTCTGCCGCACTGAAGGGGCTGCCAACACTGGGTTGCAGCTGCCCTCCATGTCCAGCCCCTGTTGGTGGCGCCATCGCACATACAGGTCAAGTGGGTGCTGGTTCACTAAGTCCTCCACGAAGGGGATGGCAACTCCCTCGAACCACTCTCCTGGATAAAGCTTCTTGAAAGCTAGCGCCAAGGACTCCTGCAGAATGTAGAATGGCCCAAAAGGGATGCCTGTAGCCTGCGCTACACTCGACAAGAGGACACGTCGGGTAACTCCCTGGTGACTCCTGCCATGCTGACCTTGGACCACCTGTGGGGCACCCCGCGGGCCCTGCTCACTCAAGCGATCAAAAATCAATCCGGCTAGGAGGTCGGCCTCGCAAGTTTGGGCTGCTGGGCAATCACAGACCAGCACTGATCCCTCGAGCTCATCCAACTCGCACCAGAGTGTCTCCCTGATGTATTGGACGTAGTAGGGGACCCAGTCTTGAGGGGTGCAATTCACGCCCACCTGCCATGGAGACTTCCACTTGGTGGTCGGCAGGCGGTGAGTATGACTTCCGAGCCCCACATACACATGACCGGGGGGAAGTGCACCCTGTTGCAATACATCTTCAACACATGCTCTCGTGGGCACCCTAGCTGCTTCAGCTGTGTCCAAGGGTCTCAAACCCAGGCTGATGGCTAGGGGGGTCATAGCCCACTCACGAAGTGCTCTGGGATCGAGGTCAAGCCAATGGTCCCGATGTCCGGTGCAGCTCGGCGATGGGGACCTCGGCACATAGAGCTTGGCGTGTCCAACACGCACTGCCCACCACGAAGCTGCCGTGGCAATTGCAAAACATAGCTCTGCTGTATACTCGGACTCCTCAGCTGAAGGAAAATGGCGCTTACCATCCTGCACCCAAGGTTCCCATTCCTGGGGATCATGGAAATGGTTGCAGTCAGCTCTAGGCCATTGGGCGATCTCTGCAATGTTGTGGCGCAGCCGCTGCAGCTTCGATCTGGCACCACCAAAGCAGCAGGCTGAATACCGCTGATCGGACCAGCGACCGCTCTCCCACATCGCCACCTCATCCGGTGTCCACCAGTGGAGGCTGTTGTATGGGTTCTCGCGGACTGATCCACCACCCCTGTCCACCAACTGATCGATCTCGGACAGCACGAAGCTCGCGGCCGCATTGTCCTGCTCCACCCGTGTCAGCTGAGACCCTGTCAACTCAGGGAGACCCAGCGGGTGTTGCTCAGATCGCAACGGCCGGGGTGGTGGGCGCCCATCACCAAAGTCCCGCGGAATTTCCCTCGCGCGGCTCTTGGTGGAGCAATCCAAAGCTGCCGCGATGAAGCACACGGACTGCAACTGCTCATGCAACGATTGCTGCCTGAGACTGTTGGATAGGTCATGACTCCTATCCAACATCCAATCCACTGAAATGGTCTCCCAACCACAAAAGAT